TCTTGGCTTCATTAAAGAACATACTAAATTTTTCTTCTGCAATTGTACACTAATTTTTTGTCCAGATATTTCCCTTGTGTGGTACCTACATTCTTAAACTTTGTTCTGGAATGCATAATAGTAGTAGTAGATCATATGTTGCCTAACATAATTTCTGGAAGCTTTTCTAAAATAAGCTTTTTTATCTAATAACTCTTTATATTAGCAATGTCCCGAAAGTGTGGAATTGATAAGTAGGTCTTGAAAAAGCATTATCAAAAATAGAAAGCTCACTGTTCTTGTCACCTTGAACAGACTAGAGAGTTTGGTTTTGAGTTGGTTTTCATTCCCAAAGTGGGCTATATTAGAAAATCTACCTCTAGATATTAGAAGGGCTTGCATTTGGGAGCATAAACTAAAAGAGACGTCGTTTTGTCAAGGTGTATTAGTCTTCAACTAAGACTAAAATTTAAGACAGAACTGCTGCCAAAGTTATAATGTGATTCATTGGCACAACGGAATATTTGGAACAAGTTGTTGGGAATGATTCTGTCCCCTTTTGGTATTTCATTCATTAGGGGAATTTAGAAGTAAATTCTTAATTTGCACATGTGCTGAAACTTAACTTCCATGTGGATGACTGAAAAGGGTGTATTTTGTTTTATTTTTTGCAGAAATTTTTGGGAGCACTTTCATAAATGCAGCTACCCGTGTTTGTCTAATAACACATAAGGTTTATTGTGACTATTCTTGAAAGCCTTACATTACTGTTAAGAAGCATGAGCAAACTGTAGTTGTTGTTTATTTTCTTCTTTTTATTACAGGTTTGTGTAGCAAAGGTGTCTTTGCAGCCTCTTTTCATATGTCATAGATGTTTCCTCTTACTTTAGCTGATAAAAAGGATCATATAAGTAATGTATAAGATGCAAGTATTGAATCAGGATTGCTGGGATGTTTATTTCTGTGTCTTTAAAAGTCGATTCTTTTTCCTTGCCCATTTTTTTCCTAAACTTCCTTCCCTGGCTTCTGACTATTGCAAGATAGGAAAATCTATGCTTTTCTGCTCAGAAGTTTTTCTTATCTGCTTGCTGAGAAGGAGTTGGGGAGGGGGGAACACACAAATTTTCCACCTATCTACCTTTCCCTCACCAAGCATGATTTGGAGTTGGACTGATTTAATGGTGTCAAAAGAAATAATCTTTCCATATAATAATCATAGGGCTTATTTTGTTTCCTGCTCAGTTTTCCCAAGCAGCAATTACAGAACTGGTGGGAAGCGGGTTTGACAGTTGCCTGCTGTCTCAAGTTTTGAGTAGCATTTAGTTTCACAACCCCTAAGGAGTGTTTATTTTAATTCAAAGGCTTGGCAAAGCTAAGGGTGGTAAGAAGATATTGGCATGCCTGGAAAGTAAGGAAGGTGATGCAGATTTATGTGGAAATTTCTTGCAATAAACATTATTGAACAAAGTGGGTGGGGTTGTTTTGGTTTGTTTTCTAGAAATGGAGATTTTAGTTTGTCATGTTTGTTAGTGGAAACTTTCATGTTTCTCATGTGCAAACTGAAGATTAGATTTTTCTAGTCTATAATGAAAGTAAAAAAATCAAATTTTATAAAATGTCTCAATAAAAGTATAGCTTCTAAAGACAGAAGTAATTTCTCATGGTTTATATGATTACTGTAAAACCAAAATAATCTTCTTATCCCTTGTATAAAAGTAACTGAAATTTTCTGACTTGCTAATTCAAGAGATCAGGAACTTTGTCTTCCTGGGCTGTTTTCCAACCTTGGCAATATTCTACTTCTCATGTGAATTTTTGATAAAGTTATGCATATTCTGTGGACAATTAATGCATTTCACATAAACCTTATTTTAAATATTTTTTAAAAATTCAAATAATATGACTCTAGGAAAAAAAATCCTCAACAACATGTAAGGAAGTGGGAAGTGGCATTTTTTTTAATGGTAGAGGAGGAATTTGGAATGATCATCTAATGCTGGTAATACAGGAAGACATGGTTTGATAGTGCCATATGATGGTACAACAACTGAGATGAAGTGTCACTGTACAGATATTACCAGGCAGTAGGAGTGGTAGACATCTCCAGTATAACTGAGAAAGATGTGAGACTTTTATAGTCCTACCAAATCTTTGACGATCACTAATGGTTCTAGCCTTATTAGATGCATAAACTGGATGCTAACTGTCCAAACAGTTCTGTTTTTCAGATAGTTAATTACAGCATATGTCATGCTTTTAGTCTTCTTTCTTCCTATGGCTTACTGTGTATTTTTGCATATTGGGACAAAGACGTGATATAAAAATAGTCTTGATAAATAAAATTAATATGAATTTTTTTCTGCAATTTTTATTTACAGATAATTATAATATCCTCCACATTAAAAATATTGCAGAAGCTTCAAGAATGTCACTTTTGGTACCAAAAGTTGTGTTGGGTTTTTTTAAATCATCACATTTATGTATTTTAATGACCTAAAACAGTGTTGTTAAATATAAAAATAGCTTTATACTCTATTCATTTCACTTCAGTTGAGTAATCATGGAAAAATGTTTTAGGAAGGACCATTATCAAAATAATTTTTTGTGAGCTGCCCATGGGAAGCTAGATGGTAGTGACTTCTTTTGCCTGATGTGCCCTATCATGGCAGGCTGAAGGGCCCCCCCCCCCCCACAACAAC